GTTATTTGAGGGTACAAGTGATTTGAGGATTTATTCTCATGTACTAGCATTTTTAAATGGCAAGATATTTCTCTGAGTTGGAAGTTTTATATATGGAACAATGGTATATTTGTGTCCATATATCAGCTTAGATGACCGTGATAGGCTGAGCAATTGAAATCTCTTAATTATTCAAATGAAAAGAACGTCTTATGGAGGTTGATTACACCTTATAGACATAGCCGTGTATATCCAATACTACACAGTTCATGCATATTTTAAAGTCACATACACAGTGTAATTGTTTGACCATTTTAAACATAAAAGGCCATCAGCAACCGGAATTCTGCAAAAATATGCAGTGCAAGAGAAATGGGCTGGGAAATAAATAAATCAAATTCCAAAGCTTTCAATTTATAAGCACATTTTTAAGGACTTCCAAACAAAGGATAAATACTTGAGTAGCCTTATTTTCTCCCCTAAGGGTTCTAAGTACATTTATTAAAAAATTACAAAAACAACAAAATAAAACAAAAAACTTGCTGGGCACTAACTTGGAAACTAAATGCTTTAAAGTCAGCAGTTTGGAGTACATTTGAAAAATGTGGTTTGACACAATGAACTTTGGGATGTAGGCCATGCACGCAAATGGCTGTCCTTTTACAGATGTTGGGAGACTGTCTCTCTCCAGTGTTTACCACAGTCTCTAACAGTAATATTTAATAAAGTTGCTTGCCTCTTACTTGAAGGCTCAGGAGAAGAGAGGCGATCTTCTTCTGTGTGAAGGCTCAGAAATATGCTTGGGACAACTTATCTTCTGTTGATATTAACCGTCAGGAGAATCTATAACACATACTTTTATATATATATACATTTATATATATGTACATAATGCATGTGTTATATATACACATCACAATTACACATAAAATATTTCTTTGCTTGTTGGGAAGCAGATTGGAGGACTAGGTAGGGGTATTGCTATATTTTTACTTTTAAAGGAACGTAAACACCTTTTAAACTTTTTTTGAAATGAAGGCGTTTCAAGGTAAGTCCCATTGCCTTGCATTTCCCAGGGATCAAGAGCACGCATACAGATAGCTACTGCAGTTTAGTTGACAGGCAATAACTTGTTAAATTATTGTAACTTGAGGGTATGTCTGAGCCCTTAATTCTTGTGAAACTAAGATTCATAGCACTAACTTGAACCAATCAAAAAGCATAAGGGTAGTGAGCAAGCACCTTTTTATAATAGGCAAATATTCCTTTCCCCTCTCTTGCCCAGCAATACTCATTTTGATTTACTTTTGGATCCTATTTTCAGTCCTGATTTTAACAGATGGCTTTGTGCAATATTACCACGTTATCACTGTCTAAGTGGAGTTTTCATTAACTTTGTTTTATTGAATAAACCCCTTATGGATCAACATTGAATTGATGTAAAAATTGTAGTTTTGAAAGAAAGCCCAAACAGATTTTTGAATTTTATCCTCCTCTATTTTGGCAATTATTTATTTTATCCATGGAAAGAACTTAAAATGTTGCAAGTTCTGTTTTCATATGGTTAATCTACCACAGAAAACTGTCTTTTAGTCATGCTGATTCCAGTCTTCTTACATTTTGTCCAGTCTCTGGTTGTTTGGTGTAATTGGCTGAAAATTCATCTATTCTGTTTATTGGCAGACCTTATAGTGATACAGCTGGGATTCATACGTTCTGTCTTACCAGAGTTATTGCTATTTAGCCAGCTTGGATTAAAAAAAAAGCTCTACTTGATTTTAAGAACCACACCTTTGCGTAAACTAAGATTAGAATGTACTAATGGTTAGTCAAGGAAATAAAGTATATTTAGGCTTATTTCTCAAAATTGTGCAGGAGGCAGTCTGATATTTTGGGTATTCTTTAGCACTAGCACAGTTCCAGAATATGTTGTAACTAAAACTTAGAAAATGAAATCTATTTTTTAGATAAAACACATTTACTGTTTTATTTTTGTAATGCATAATAGGCAGATGCTTTCTAGAGTCATAAAACAGCTTGCACCTCCTCCCTCCTTTCTTAATGTATCACTTCCAATTTACAAAGCTTTTAATTATGTATTTAAATTTAATCATGTGCCTGAATCCCATAGATGTAAGTGCAAATTTAAAGTTTAACACATACATCCTTGCTTTATGAAATGGGACCATTAAGTCTGTGAGTCTGAAAAGGAAGAGAGTTTATGAAAATGCATATATATCTGAATAACATTGAAAGCAGAGTTCAGTAATGCCCAATGGGCCACTTTTACAATAGCAATCCACTTCTGAAACGTTGATCTCTGTAGGGAAGATCACTATCGTTATAATTAGAGCTGCCGTACAATGGACTGCTCATAGCAGCTATTCTAAAAAGTTCTTTGAAGGTGAAGATGAGTGGTAGACATTCTCAGGAACAGAGGATTGCTTTCTCAAGTAAAAAAAAAAAACTTCAATTATATATATTATATAATGTATATATTTATTATAATTAATATTTGTAAATAAATACATTTGGGTGCAAATGAAGAGCGACACAAGTGAAATAGCCCTACCTTTGGTGATCTAGTTATATTTTTGCTTTCAAAATTAACAACAAATTTTTTCTACTAATTATAGTTTTAAAAAATTGATTAGTTCTTTTAGGTAGGAACACTAACATAGCTAGGTATGTTAACATGAAAAATATTTGAAGAAACTCTGATCAGTTAATATCACTAGCTTTTTTTTATTGTCTTATTTTTAAGTACTTGTCCACGCTGTCCTTAACCTTCTAAAGATTAGATCAGGCAAGTAACCAAAACTGAAAACCTGGTATCAAAATAGAGTCTTTAATTCTTATGCTGAAGCTAGAAATGTTGCTATATAGATAGCTTTTTTAGTAATTTTACTGCTTCTTTCAGAATTATAACCTAAAACTTTATAGACCAGGCAGAAACTGCTGCAGTCTGTTAAAACTAAACCTGAAACTACTGCTACAAGAATCCTAGAAGCTGAGTGAAAAGTTTTCTCTGTGGAAGAGTGTAATTCTCCTGCCAAGAGCAGCTTTCAAGTGATGCAAAAAAGATTACAGTACTGATTGCTTATTTTTTTTAATAACATTGAAGATCTGGAAAACAGATCAGCGTACTTAGATCTACGAGTAAGAGGTATTATAGAAGAACATAAAGAGAAGGACAGGTAATAATCTCTAAAGTAATAAGGAAAAGTACCTCTAACCATGAATTAGAAGTAGGAAGAGCATTTATATTGTTACTTGAACCACAAATAATAGATAGATCATCTGCCATAATAATGAAAATGCTAAAATTTCAGTATGAGGACAGTTTCAAAATGCAATTCCACTTAATGTAGAAGACTTCAGCCTCTTTATTGACTTGAATTTTGAGATATGCTGTTTTTTAATAACCTACTCCCATTTGGCAAGTTACAATGACATAAAAAACTTTGCTCTAAATTTGTGCTCCAGAGCTTTGATCTCGAGTAGAACATAGTAGTACAAAACAAATGTAAATAGAATTAGAGCAGATGCTAATGGAACATCAAGTCAAGAAATTAACAATTAACATTCTTACTTCTTAATACTAACATTGATCTGACCTCTCCACGTTTTTGTATTCCCCCACTTACCAGCAACTGTAACTGTAGCTATAACCCTCAGAAAGTGTTTTCTTTTTTTTTTTTTTTAATTTTGGTTTCATTACTTCTTAGAAGTTAGTATTTTCTTTGGTGCAAGTGGTCTGCAGATTTAGAATTGGGCATAATGAACTTGCTTTTCAAAAATAATACCTAGTTGTTTGGCAAGCTATCTACTCATTATAACAAAGCAATACTATATTTTAAATTCTTTGGAGCCCAAATAAGCTTTTGATATATGCAAAGGAAATACCATAATTATTTGAGAAAAATATTCCTGAGTAACATGATTCCATTGACTGCCCTAACAAAATTATTCTATTTTCTCTTGCTATTATTATATTGCAGATTTAGGATAACAAACTATTATATGTACAATTTGATTTGTGATTTTCATGCAATCTGGCAGACATTTATCTCCCTATTAAAAGTTATGACAGCAAGGATCATTTCTGAGGAAATTATAGTCTTTAAGTTTTAAGCAAAGATTTTGGGGAAACAGGCACATTTAACTTATTTTCCTAAGTTAATAAAATGCAGTTTGTGGTTTTTTAAAAATTTGCTGTCATAGAAATACTCAAATTTTTGTTCTTTTCCTCATAAAACATTGTTGAATTGATGTGTCCTTCAATGTAGATCGAAACAGATGACCTATCAGGATTAAGAAACTGTAAAAAAGAATTTAATTTAAAAAGGCTGTTCATGATTTAATAGGTGCAGTTAAATTTTTGATAGTATTCATTTCTTTTACACTTGTAACAATGTTCCTCAAAGCTAGAGGTATTATTTGTATTTAAAACTATCACTGCATAAAAAGTTAGCCCAGTTGAAATCCTAGGTTTCATCTGAGAAATGATCATGATGTCATAGCATATACAGTGAAGCAATATGGCACCTTTGATACCATTTGAACTCCTGCGGGCTTCTTGGTTCTTAGAAAGCTTCTTTGTTAAGGGACGCTCATGTAATTGTGACTCCCTCTAGTGGAAAGCTTTCTCAGCTATACAGTGGGATATGTTCTCAATGTTAAAGTCATTAATTAAAAATTGAGAGGTCTTTGTTTTCGTGGGGAAGAACTGATTCCGTTCTCATGGACAGTCAGAATGTCCTTGTGTGCATCTTCACTTATTATGCATTCATTTAGTAATCCATTTTTTTAAAAAAAATTTTTTTTTTTAATGCAGTTGCTAATAAGATATCTATCTGTCTATATATACAACTAATGTTCATACATGAGCAGTTGGAGCATCCTTTTTTTTCCTATGGTAAGAACATCTTGTAGTTATATTTCTTAGATTTCCATTTACATGAATATGTATTGCTAAAATTTTTACACTCTGCCTTAATTATTGTTTAATTCCATTTCAGGCACCACCAAAGTAAACCTTGTGAAGATCCCATCAACTGCTTCCAGTCCTCGAGATACTGCTCTAGCAGCTGTTATATGCAGTGCACTTGCCACAGTGCTCTTAGCTCTTCTTATTCTGTGTGTTATTTATTGTAAGAGGCAGTTTATGGAGAAAAAACCAAGTTGTAAGTTTCCAACTATTACTGTCTCTTTGTAATATTTATGTATCAGTATCAGTTTGACAGATCTTTTTATAGATAAATGAATAAATAAAATGGAGGATTGATGCATCTACAACATGTAGGGGAGCTTAGTGTTGAGATGAACAAGCTAGCACAAGCCTAAGACTATAAATCCACACATGTACAGAGCTCATGTGTGGATGCTCTGCTGAGAAACTGCTGTGCAGATGTCCAGAAATAGTCCAGTTGCATTAATTCTGCACTATACTGTCTTAAAGGCTGCACAGATGTATTTGGGCCATTTGGAATCTAAGCTTGAGTGGCATCACAGAATTGCAATGCAGACGTGGACATACCAGCTTGGACGATCTCTGCATCACATTCCATTGTGAAATATAGATTTTCTCAACGAGATAATGAATGTGGTCAATGGAGATAGGTCCATCATTAATGGAGTCAACTCCAACTGGAGTTGTAAAGTAAAAAAAAAAAAAAACTCATCAATGTAATTCACAGATTGTTTAAAATAAACATTTTCTGGCCTTTAATTTAAATTAAAAAAAGATAAAACTGAAAGGCACTCTAGTTCATTCATCATTTAAAAAATCTTTTATTAAAATATTTTGATAATATTTAACAAATCCTGGATGTCAAACAAGAATAATATCAACAAGGAGGAATTGAAGTCATCACTGCTTCCAGCACAAGCAAAAATACAAAGATTCATAGAGGCATTATAAGAATTGTTCCTAGCCTAGGAGATGCTTTACAATGTAAGTTTTAAGAAATTCAGTATTAGTAAGTGCAGTCTTCAGTTAGTTAGAAATTTAGTAACTAATTTGCCCTGGCCTACAAATACAGATTAAATAAAGTTACTGCTAGTATAAATCTCTTTAAGATAACATTAAAAAAAATCCCAGGGGCTGAAAGTTAGGCACAGAAAATTTCAAACTGGAATCACTGAGAATCATTAAGCGCTGAGAAAATGTAACAGTGAATAAGGTACACTCTCAAATCAACATCAAGATAAGAGCAAATGTCTTCCTAAAAGAGGCTGTAGATGAACCACCTGTTCTCAGATTTGCTGCAAAATTTGTAGTTTGCTTTATGTCAAACCACATCATCATGGTGGATGATAGTAGATCTTTCTGACTGAAAAACTTATGGAAATACTGTACATTATGACATTTGTGTGTTCTGTGAATATAGGAGACTGAACAAGAAAAATGGTGCCATTTACTAATATATCTTTTCATTCATTTCATTTTATCCAAAGGGTCTCTGAGGTCACAAGATATTCACTACAATGGTTCTGAATTGTCATGTTTTGATAGATCACGGCTAAATGAGTATGATCACAGAACATGTTGCCAGTGTCATAGAGGCACATCACAGACATGTGGTACGTTACATCTACTTCAGTGTGCCTTCATAGAACAGGAGTAATCCAAGCAACTAGAGCTCATAATGAACATTTATCTAACGTTTGAATTGTGACATTTAGCGTTAACTACGAAGCTAACATTGTGAACTTAGCTTATGTCCTTTTAGTTGGGAATGGTTGTAAATGTCATAAGAAAAAGCCTTTCTCAGTAAACACATAGAATTTCTAAGTAGCTATTTGGCAATGATTTTTCTCCTGTTTTCATTCAATTGACCCTTCAATTGACCCTTCATTTAAATAAAAGCTTCTTTAGATGTGTGTTTTATTTCTTTCTGGTAAAAATAGTGTGAGATCCGCCTTTGAGATTTAAATTGATATGAATGATCTACCAGACAGCATCTGAAAAGAGCATACTAACTCTAAAGCACATTGAAAGCCGGAACAAATGAGATTTTGTAAAGTAGTATCAGAACAGATGCATTTATGACATTGATCAATGTATAATTTAACACAAGAACATAGGCTTAAATATCATTAACCCTCAGAATGTGGTACTTGCTCTCCTATGTACCTAAATCAAAAGTAAATTAGAAAGTAGATATTCAAATTATCATGACTGGTGTCTTTATTATTCCTAGAGTAAAGTAACTCTATTTTAAAGTAATAAATGAAAGAACCCTTTTTTTTGCAATAAGAAATATCTTTTCTCAATCCATATATTATAATGTACCTTGCAAAATAATACTCAAGTTTGAAAGAGTACAGAAACTACATTTATGCACAGCTTTTAGTACATTTTACATTATTAAATGAGGTTTTATTCTTTAGGACCAGTTCACTTGATTCCATCACTGTGCTGTGATGAGACCTGTAGCATGGAACACAGCAGTCACAGCTGTGCTTTCCACTCACAGACTACACTTCATGAAAGGTAACTTTTTATAAATGACTATTAAACATTAGCTATTTTGTATGCAATAAAATTGATTTTTATACAGGATACAGTAAGTGTTTGGAGCTGACCAAAGGATTTTAAAGAATGACAGTCATATCCTCCTGCTTATGGTGAAAAATCTTGCATTTACTGAGAAAAGAATATATATTGCTCACGTATTATTTAGTAAGTGCTGAGGTGTTAAATCAGTTTCTCTGAAGAAGTGACTCCTATTTCTTAAAAGCAGATATTCTTCCTCTCACTCCATGCTACTTCAGAGGTTTTGTTGACCCCCTCTTTTGGCACAGTTAGCAAGATGCTGTATAATCCCATGAATCTGGGGGGATTATGGTACAGTTTATAAGTATCATGAAGGTTTTCTTTTTTTACAAACTTAATGACTGTGAGACTTGAAGTATATTTAGTATTTCTGAGTTTTCTATCAGATAGAAACAATTATTTGCTCCTAATCATCTGAATGTAAATACAGTAGTAGTTAATTATACACCAGTTCCGTGAGCTAATTATATAAAATTTATGGTCTCATTCAGAGTTTCCTGGTTACAGATTTTAATACAGGATGTATTTATTTCTTCTAAGTAGAACTATTTTCCATGTAAGGTTTAAATTGGTCTCTAGCGGTTTTGTTCTTGTGGCCAAATATAAGTGAAAATGTAGAGGCAGCTTCTTAATAGGTACTGTTTATGCAAGGTGGCTTAGTGACCCAAGCATAAGATGCAAAATATCTAAATTTTTTTATAACAACTTGTTTAAATGCCAGCAGATTTGAGTCATCCCTTTATACCACCAAGGCTGGCAAATTGAGAGTTGTGAAATTTGTGAGGGGTCTATTGGTTAAGGCTTTAAAAATAAATGTCATATCCATGTTATGCGGACATCAAAGATCTCATAGTTCCTTCCACTAGAAATGGTGTTTGCTCCAATTTCCTTTGCCAAAATAATGTATTTCCTTCCACTGTGGTACAATGTCCTGACTGTTGGCCTTATCTATAAAAATGCTTTGTGTATATATCTAAGCTGATAAAGCATCATGTTTTGGAAATGAGTAAGGCTACTTAAATACTATTATAAGTACTATTAACGTGGGATAAGTTTTGATCACACAAATTATTACTGTATATCAGACTTAATACATGGCATTTACAGTTTTATAAATTCAATAGACATTTTTTCGAAATAAAACATACTAGTATAACATTTTTTATGTTGTTAATACTTATTTTAGTATATTACATTAAAAAAACTTTCCTGAAGTTTCCGTAGAGACAGGTATGCGTAGTGCAGTCAGACACGTCAGTATAACCGTGAACCTTCAATACACTTGGGTTAGACTATTGAGTTTCTACTTCTACTTCCTTCCATTTTGCATAAAATAAAAATTACTCTTCTAAGAATTAAGAATCCTTGCAATTCTTTAATATTATGACCTTACTACATGACAGAGAATTGGAGAAAAACTTTTCTGTTTGCCTTTTGAAAGCTAGACAGAAATAACTGAAAAATTTGAAGTGAATGGACGTTCAGTATGAAATTACACAAAGAGAAGGAATCTCAAGCAATCGTGTAGTCTATTCCTTTCTCCCAGTTTGGATCCACTTTACTTCTTTTATTCTTGTTAGATTTTTGTCTAGCCTGTTTTTAAAAAAGCAAGTGTTGGAGATTTCACAGTCTTCTCAAAAATATTTCTTGCTGCAATTTAAGCCTGTTATATCTTGTCGTAACCCCCGCTCCCAACACATGCATTGGAGAACAAATAAATCTCTTCCTCTTTGCAGTAGTCTTTTTGTATCTGAACACTACTGCGTTTTTTTCCATCCCATTTCTAAACAACCCCCACTGTAGTTCATATTTTCAAGAGCCCTGAATTCACCGTGTGAAGGGCTCTAGCAATCCTCTTTACCTTTCATAGTGTTCTCCAGAGCTCTCTTTGTTTCCAGTCTGAGGGACAAACTCTTTCCTTTCAAAAGATTTTTTTGTACATAGACTTCTAGAGTCATCTTTAACTTTAAGAGTCATCTTATTTAAAGTCATCATCTTTAAATACATGTCATTACTAACTGCAATAATTACAATATTGACAATATTTTCTAGAATGCTTTTGAAACCGTGTGTCTTTTATTTTTTTACAGGGCTTCTGATTCTGTTGGAGAAATGATTCCTACCTTCCTTGGTTCTCTTTCACACTCAACTTGCGGAGACATTTCAGATGCTTGGCCTCTTATGCAAAACTCAGCTTGTTGTGACAGCATCTCTTTCTGTGAATCACATTCAGAACTGGCTGGAGGAGGTCCAAATTCTTGCAGTCCTGAGACAGAAAATGCAGCCACTGTTGAGTCAGATAATGACCAGGAACTAAGTGATGTACTTATTTCAGCTAAGTCTCATGATGGAAGCATTGCAAAGTCCTTTGAAATCTCCAAACATAGAACATATATAGAGATTTCATCGCTTCAGAAGTCAGTGGCTGCTGAAAAGCAGCCAAAGACAAAGCACAATGGAACAGCAAATGACTCCACAGACTAATAAAGAGGTAAGAAACATAACTACAAACAAGGAATGGGAATGTAGAAGTCCTCCAGGAACACAGAGCTAGGTAAAATAGGATTATAAAAAAATATGGGATTATGTTTCTCCATAGGTTACACCTACCTATTGCTAAAGTAAATTGCATCCTTATGAGAGGTCCAGTATTTTCACACTTTCATATCAACTGAATGTAAAAGGTGTCATTACTCAAACTGTTATGTTGAGATAATGTGAACTAGAACACAGGAGTGAGCCTGTACACCGGTTAGTTTTTATTAGCCTTTTTCATTAAAGTTCATTGCAAACAATCAGTAGAATAGCCTTATACCTAAACTATTATGTGAGGCTGGTCTGTGTTTATGACGGAATAAATGAGGACTTGACTTTGCTCATCCTAAAGGAAAAATAAGATATATAAGGGATCATCTAAAAATATGCACAAACCCTTCTCTGTGAATTTACTACAGAAGAAACAGAAAGAGAAGAGATAATCAAAGGCCTTTTAATGCCATTCATATTCCCATATCATCAAATACGGCATTCTATCAATTTGCCCGTATAACATAAACATGATTTAATCTAAAAAAAGCGCCATGTTCAAATTCTAAGAGTAAAGTCAGGTCTCAGATTAAAATGAGAAGGAATAAACAACTATCTCCACCATAACAATGTAAACATCATAAAAAGTCACCCTGCTACTGCATTATCATTACATCTTTTTGAGCATTAGTTGTGGTGTGTATTTTAAACATGGCATTTTCTACTGTTGGAAGTAACTTGGAGCAACAAGTAGCTAAGCTGTGAGAGGATCACAAAGTGTGGCGTGGGCACTGGTATTATTACTCAATGGTTATGTAGACTTTGGCTGTAAAGGTGAAATAATCTCCTATGCATGTCCACAGACACGAACAGAAGCAGTTGCCACTAGTATTAATAATCCACTAGATTTAATTAAGAAAATTATTCTATCTGTAATTATGAAAATTTCAGGTCACCTGCAGAAATAAAACTGCCTTCCTTTGATCCTCTTCCATTCAGTTTTAATGCTGACTTCTTATTGTTCTTAAATAAGAAGTAGAAAGTAATTAGTATCTAACAAAAATATGCATATGCTCAAAACATGTAAGTGCAATAGTTTAATTCTTTGTAAATCAAGCCTTAACTCTTTTGATGACATTTTCAAGAGGAGAAAAGGAAGGTAAACAGAGTAGTAAGTCAAGAAATTTTTGCCATTGATTTCAATGGAATCAGCGTATCACCCTTAAAATCTGCTGCTATGACTGAAAAATATCAAACTTAGATCTAAGTCACATACAGTTTTCTCAATATATTATTTATCATTTACTGTAAAGTTTGGAAATGTAATGTATAGTTTTGTCAGTAACATTGGAAGATGAGTAGTCATTAATGTCTATCTTTGAGTGCTCGTGTGGCATATAAGCATTTGTCATAGTTTCATTCTGGTAGATTCCAGATATCATTAGTCATATTCGCTAGGTATGTACAGAAAGGGATAATGGCATGGTTATGACTGCAAATCTCTACACTTCTATTTCCCTGTTTTTCAGATTTTATCGATGAACTTGAACGCTCTCTTGATGTTTTAAAGGAGTATATTTCCGTATTAACGTGATTAAAAAAGTGTGGGGCCTTTTGTCTGCTAAACTGAGTATCGGCTTAAGAGATATGTGATTAATATGATTTAGAGTTTTTACTAGAGGAATGGAACCACAGAAATTCAAAATATCACTAGAAAAATTAATTTATATTTCACCACACTTGTTATGATGTATAAATTGTAAATTTTCTTCCTGATGAAGTATAAATATGTAGAAATCTTTTTTAATTTGACATTTCAAAGTCATTCATTCTTTGATGTTTATGTGTCAGCATGTATTAATATTGACATTTGAGTATAATTATGAATAAGCAAGATGCTTTGGATGGGTTAGATTTTTCTTCATTTATTTCTTCTTCATTAGACTTCATTGATTCATTTTGTACAATGTCTCCATACTCAAAATCTATCCTGCATCATTATATATGAATTTTTGATGGAGAAAATTCAGTGGTATTTGAGAGACTGGACCAGGACTAGGCTTACCTGAATCATAGTCTTTGTCTTGCCTTGGACCTACTTTACAACTCCAAGAAAATTATCATATCTCAGTCTGTCTTCTTTTCTTCCTTTTGCCCTTAATCTCACTTGTCTTTTTAAACTATTTTGGCAGAAGTGTGAACTTTTTAGTACCCATGGTTGCATTATGGTCTTACTTAGGGCCATAGTGCATTATTACATCACAAATAAATAATAACTCTGAATAAAGTATCAGAAGATAGCGTATTTTTAGTTGTGTGACTACAAATTTAAATTTAAAAATTAGTATTTTGATACAGGTTCAACTTTCAGGTTTAGGTGAATTTTTACAGTAAACAGTGAACATAGCAGTACTGTTTTAGCATTTAGTCAAGTGTAGAAGTACACACAGGTTTTTTATGAGTTTATGTAACCACTATTGTATTGCTTTCTTTTAGGAAGCCAAGCTATTTCTCTCAGCACTGAAACTGAATGCTTCCCTAATGCTCCTCTGCCAATTCTCATCAAACATGGTCTGGTCCTCAACGTTGCCTGGTTTCAAAATCAATTGAAAAAATTGGCAGCATTTCACATCTTCCACGCAGTTGCATCTGAGCCATAACAGCTGTAAAGTGAAACTTCAAGGAGCATCCTAAGAGAATCCTGAGAATGGATCCATGATCTTTTGCATCTCTTTTAAAACAGAACCTTCTATTCCTTCTGATTCTCACAACGTCTAATGGCGTGAGCTTAAAAGTATGTGTAAATATAGCAAGAAATGAAAATACCTTAGTATATTTGGATGGGTATCTGAAATATGACTACAGATGTCAGAAGGCATGGGACAAGACTTTGCCAGTTTTCTGCTTGCAAATTTATGCATGCATTAGGATTTTTTTGGCTGGTTCTAATTTTAACTCAGTTTCCTGCTGTTGAAGGAGTTAAAAATTAAACATTTCTATGTATGCAAGGATCATTTATTGAGAAACTGAACCTTTTATTATGTATTCCATTATAGTCAATAAGCTAGTTTGGGGAGTTAAAGAATTTGCATGTTACAATATGTATGGTTGAAGTCCCCTCCATCCAATTATTACATTTGTGGGAGGGGGCATTGTTTTGTTTTACATAGCAGGAGATTAGCTTTAAATTAGATTTAGTTTAATAAAAGTCAGTTAATGAAAGTCAGCCCTATATATAGGGGTTTTGTGTTTAATTGGTAGGATCAGTATTGGAAGACAGCACTTGGTGTTATAGCATGTATTTTTTGGATGCTGGAATAATAATAGTCATCTGTCACACCAAAATATCAAACTATAGCAGGTGTGCCATGAAAGTATTCATAAAATGAGAGCTGTTACTAATTATTTATGGTAATGGATTATTTTCGAGGGTCAAACTTCATAGTGACCTCATCTTTTCATTTGATAGCCCTTCTTTTCATTCATTTCATTCTCTCCTTCCCACTATAGTACTTTCTGTAAATCTGCTTTTTCAACACAAAATATAAAAATGAATTCATAACTTTTTTCGAAATACCTCTGAATTGAATCCGCAACCTATGCACATGCCTAGTAAATTATTATTTTTCTGCCAGAATTGTTGTTCACAATTTTTTTAACGGCAGTTTGTCACACCGTATCCTAAAATGTCATTTGTTCTGCAGGCTTTTTGTACCTAAAATAGTGTTCACTTCTGTGAGTAAGCTCATAACCTCTACTGAAAGTTGCATTCGACAGCCTCAAATCTGTCAGTTGTGAACTCTAGCAAATATTCTTTAAAGTACCCACTGTGCCTTGACAGAAGCAAAGCAATCAGCAAAACAAATGCACATCTGCAATAAATATTACACATCTTTCCACACATGGTTTATATGGCAATGGAAATGATGAGACGGTATTCATATTCCATAACGGAAAAACCTTTTTCTTTGAAACACCCAGTAGAAAGCTGAACCTGCAAAGAATAGTTAAAACCAGAATAGGCCGCCAAGGCAGTAAGATGCTTCAGCCAAAACCCCTGAGATTATTCATGTGTGCAAAAATCATGAGTGAAAATTGTCAAATCTGAACCAAAGTAAGTGAATAAGTTACATAATTGATTTTTTATGAGGTAAAGACCACATTTTGATTGCTGATATTGTAGAAAAATATGCAGCTGTACAAATAGTACAATTATTCAGCTACATACCATAAAGGATATATGCAAGTTAAATTAGTTTTGAATAGTTTCTTTGGATACTTTCATACATTTAAGAAATGACAAAATACTATTTTTTACTGCATTTGCATGAAGAGATGTGTGCTTCTTTGTATATAATTTGTAAATAAGAAAAATCCAATGTGCATTTCAGTATATGGCAAGATATTTTTAGAATGTGGAGATTGAACTTTTCATTAATAACAGTTGTTTAAAATGCTATGATGTTCAAAAATTTTGCCAGCATCTGCCACAGTATGTTTTCCCATTGGAATTTACACTTTGTTTAATTTTTTTGTCCGGCAACTCTAGATAAAAGCACTCATTCTTTAAGTGAGTGACATATAGCTTGAAAGCAAATTGGGAGGAAAAAGGAAGAGTGCTTTTTAAATATATATGTATATTGTGTATATACTTTTTTCCTTAATTTAACCAAATTGGTCTTTTTTATATTGCCTGTGGCAAGCAATGTTGTACATGCCAATAGAAAACATACACTACCACCACATTTACACTGTCTGCATATCACTTTTAGGGGCTTACAGTGCTATTTTATATGCTCCTTTAAAGAATCTAAATTAAAGTCATGTATAAATCATTTTGTAATACTTTTTCTACTTGTGAATAAAACGTTACATGAATCGGTCTTGGTTTGTTGATTTCAAATTAATAATAATCTATACAAAGATAGTGATCAGATCTTTAACTGTTTTTAGCAGAATTCCCTATTGATTTAGTTACAGACTGCTGTATTAAAACTGTGGAATGATTTGGTACATCTTTGTTTTGAGATGTATGCTGTTTGACACTGGCATCATTCTCCAAGCTGTAGGACTTTAAAGAAGCAGTAAGTTAACATCAATCCTTAAAGTCGGATACTTAAAAATCTTTTCAAAATTTTTCTTCTCAAAAAAAAAAAAAGGTGAGCAACACAAATTGCTTTCTATATAATCTATCTCTTTGAAAAGAAACCCAAGTACTCCACTTACTAAAATACTTCAGACAAGATACGTAAATGATGAGAGTAGCGGCATTTTTGAAAACAGAAAAGGATGTACTACTGATCATTGCACTTGATCAGTACAGAAACAGAACATGCAGTGTTGCAGTGCAGCAGCTAAGAGTGATTTCAAGCCTTGGCTGAAGAAATAGGGAATTGGAGAATATCAGCAGAGAGGGCTGATGACCCATAACTAGTGAGGCCATTCTCAGAACATTGTCCAGAAGGTTTATATGGTGAAAAAGTGTTGCAGAAATTGAGTGCTATAGGGTTGGAAGGCTATACAAATGCAAATTATTAAGAAAGGGATGACATGGTTTAATTGACATATCACTGGACTGAGAAGGAAGAGAAACATATGTGATTTAATAATTGTGTATGACTGAGTGATTTGTGATGGTAAAGACATAAGAAGCAGTAACTGGAAGGTGAATCCAGATAATGCCGTTAGGTAATATAAGGCCAGGTTGCTTGTTGGAGAAAAATTTCTAGCACTATTATTTTTTAATAGGACATCTCAAGATAAATTGAAAGATGCTCTAACTCTCTCTCTCAGAAGAACTTACTTTATGCTAGCAAATTTAGGTTAGTTCTTTTCCATGTATTACTGTTACTTTCTCCAGTCTTTTAAGTACATAATTTGGAGCTTACCCAGGGATCACCTACCCAGAATAGCAAGGGCTCCTTATAATACTGTGCCCATGCGCTGCGCTCCTGACTAGTCTGCTGCTTGTCTTCTGCTGATGCCATCAAAAAAGTCAGTCAACTTCATCAACTCACCCAATCATCCCAGTTCAGGTAAAAGGGATGCGGGAAAAAAACAGTTTTTTAGTGTTTGTGCCTTAGAAAGCCTAATATATTTAGCTTTCAAAAGAGGTTGTTCAAATTATGTCTTAACCTTCCTGGAAAGAGTAGTCCTGGCACTCTTTAACAGATAAGAGTCAATCTCTGGAAGGTGATACTACACAATTCCAGTAAGGCACATATTTTTAACATGGTTAACATATAGATGTGTTAACTAACACTAGTTAACTAACTAGTGTTAACTAACTAGCGTTAACTAACACTAGTTAACTAGTTAGTTAGTGTTAACTAACACTGTGTGCTAACTAACCCCTGTTAGTTAAGGGTGTGATGAATTCTGTACCATTGGACAACTACATCAAATCTGCATGGTTTTTCTAAAAAATTCATGTTAGCCCCAACAAAAATTATGGGTTTGATATGGAAAGCAGATGGTGATAGTCTGCAACTTCTGCTAAGCAGGCTCTCATTTTTCATCCTTTTTATTTCAGGATTTGTCCTTTAAAAAAAAAAATCAGACACTGGAGTACTGAGATCCATATACAAGTAAAGACAGATACAAAATAAGCAGAAGTTACAGACACTTCAGCTGTACATAAACACCAGTCAACTCATATTTTCAAACAGGTTAAAGTAGCGTTCAACTTTCTCTTTACCTATAGAAAATTGATTAGTGACTGTTCAGCAAAACGGTCCGATCATATAACGTGTAACAGCACAGACAAGATTAACTGTGTTTGCAGGCTATAATAAATTTACAAAATTTATTAGTGACACTTTGACGAAAGAGGCTTAAGTTAAAGTTTCTCTGAAAAAAGGGTGTAAGCACTGTCATCTATGAGAGCTCAACTTTCATACAGGGACTTGTTAATCTAAAATAACTCAGTGATATGTGAGGCTAAGCTATCCCCAAAATACCCAAATTTTTATTTGTCATTTCTCTTTCAGTTCCATACAGTCATATAATTGCTTGGACAATGTTTAAAACCCGCAGAAGGTGATATTAAAACTAACACCAACAATAGCTAACTATAAAGTTAGCCACACCAAGAGGGTCAGTAAGATCTCGAGAAGCCAACAATCCTGCTTCAGTGGGCTCTCACATATGCAATGAAATTAAGACCATGTACACAGCAAGACACCAAATTTCAAAAGCAGATGAATAGTCGGGTTAAGGGGGTGGGTTTAATGTAAGGGATGAACTAACTGAAAGGCCTCATGAAGTTTGTGAATCTGCAGCACATGACACATTTTGTGAGGTCACTTTTCTCTCTATTAACAAAAATTGACAAAGGCGACTACAAGTAACGGAAAAGCAGACATTTTTATTATTTTATTCGGAGACAAAAATGCACAACACGAAACAAATTACATATGTGATTATAAGACTTTCATAGACTTTGGTCATGTCTGATATAATAACAACGCCGTTAGCAAGACTGCATTTTTTTATCCAATTGTTTTTCTAAAAGAAGTCTAAACAAAAAAGCCGCCACAAAAAAATCTTTTTCCTGCTTGCGTTACTTTTCAGGAGAATGATGTTTTCTGCCTTTTCCACCAGGTGGGCCTTCCTCTTAATCCAATACTACTCATCCTAGCATGTGTTTTAGATAGTATGGCTTTTCCTTTTGTTGTGGGCTCTTTGAGGGCCCTGGTTTTGCATTTCTGTGAAGTCCCTCCAAGCAACAGCCCTCATGCACTAAATTAATCTTTTCTCTGACTTTAGTGATGGAGGTTGAGCTCACTACCTGCAGCACATTCCAGTTCAGACACTGCTGCTTTGTTTTGTCTTACAATAAAAAAAGACCCCCATATTGAAGCAAGTGTGTACTGTTTCATCAGACGTGGAGCAAGCTGTGGTTGTGTACTGCGTGAGAGAGCCACACAATGCGCACTTTGTGCTGGCAGGGTGCAATTTAATCCATATTTAGTTTCAGCATGAGTGTTGGTAAAACCCACTTAGTGGGTTTGCATTGCATATGAGCTATTTCGATTATGTCCAGTAAGGTAGTACCTTCAATAGGATAAAATAATAGTGGGTGCATTTCCTACTGATCCTGCTGTTTTTGACAGCAGCAGTGAATGATGGGATTAGTGGAAATGTTTTCTAATAATGTACTGACAGAGAGGGTAGTTGACTGAGGGCACGCTAAAGCTTCTAGCAGGTGACACAGCTTCAGCTGTAGGGTCATTTCGGTGCGATTTAGATTTTCCCATCATTTGATTTTATAAATCCTCCCTTATCACAGTTGGATTTTTTTTGTTGACATGACAAAGGGAGATTTGGTATGTTCAAAAGTTCATAAATGCAATTTTTCTAAAGCATTGGTGGAAAAGCAGGCAAAAAAGAGTACAGCTTTAGGAAAGTGCTTACTCTGAACCTGAGTCTTTGTGAAGCTATTTCTTCAGCCCAGGTTCCAGTTTCAGTCTGTGGATGGACGAGTAATATGCTGAACATGCAAAAATTCTCCTATGTATATGAGATAATATACCAAAAGCCGTTATGTAATCAATAGTTTCAGGGATAGCACTGATGTAAATCTTGGAAAAAAATTAAATCACTGTAAATGAAGAAATCATTAATATGTAGGTAATATAGTATAGTGTCTTAAACAGACCCTCTGCTTAAGGGGACAAAGACATTCAGCTAATGTGAATTTTAGATACCTCTCCTAGCTTGCAAAGATCATTCAGGACAGCCATAACTGACTCTCAAAATCATTCACAACCATGTTCATGGCTGAACGTGTGCCTGATGGGTCTTGGTTCAGGCTCTGCCAGGAAACCACTCGGGTTAAAGGACTAACTAACTTCACTAACCTGATGATTGCTATAATGTAAGAACAGGAAGGAGAGATGCGTGGCCCTAGCATGTTTTACACCAGCGTCTTTTCTGGTATTGACGATGGTGATGCCTTTATGATCCTACATGACAGACGTGCAGAAATCCTAGCCATTTGGGAAAGATGCATTCCTTGAGTGTTCATATTTTCTTAAAAGGTAAAAAAAAAAAAAAACAAAATCCAATACTGAAACTAATTTTAAGCCCTCAGCATTAATTAAGGTTGTATCATCTTTAACATCATTTTAAACTTCAGAAGATTTGCTAGTCCTCTAAGAAGACTAACCGCTTCCTGTGGGCAAGAACTGCCTCCCCCCCCCATTATTATTTTCACTTTTAACTAGCAGGACTGACAGAGTCAGGCAGAAGAAACTGTAGATCCTTTAGATGGCATAATACCTAGTTTATTGATGGGTTTAAAAAAAAAAAAAGCAAGCCTATGCATTCAGCCTACTCTCTTTGGTTCAAATAGCGCATGGGATCTGCAGGGAAGAGCTCCAGAATGCCACAAATTATCCACATATCCTGTGGCTTTTAACAACAAATAGATAGTGTTTGAGTTTATTCAAAGATGTTGGCAAGTGCTGTGATAGAGATTCCTGAATATATCTGCCCACCAGATGATGTTTCCTAATACATAGAATGTCATTGATGAGGTCTTGTTACATTCACAACCAGATGATTTTTGTTTCCCTAGAAAACAAAAGAAGTCTTTTTATTTCCTTTCAGCAGTATGTGGACTGGGGGCAGAGTGGGGAGCAGTAATGCCCAAGGAAGCCAGGTGGGAGCAAAGTGCAGGACTGACACATCTACAGCGCACTACAACTTCTTACGTCTGATCTCTCACTGCAAGTCTGCCAGCTGTGCAGAGATTAGCCGAAAATGTTCTTCGAAGCCTGAATATCCCCAAAGTTATGCCTGCCGCAGATGCCTTGGTGTTGTAGCTGTGGTAGCTGAGAAGTATAAGCAAAAAGAAATTAATATCTCCTATTAGTTGGAA